CTGCTCAGGCCGCGGCATGCCAGTGGGAAAATGAGGCTAAATGCATTTTTAAAGCTCAGCTCAGCTTCCCTTCCCAGTAGAGTTGAGCCCTTGGGAGCTCCCAGCCTGGCACATGGCATTTGGGGGAAAAGACAGGAGGGCGCCCCAGGGAGGCGTGGGGGCCCGTGCAGCCACGAGGCTGGCCTGCGGCCTGGAACTTGTCGCCTTCTAAGGAGATGGGGAGGAGCCCTGCGATGGAGATGAGGCCTGGCTCCATGGCTCTGGGGTGGATGGAGCTGCACGAAGGGTGCCTCTCACCCTCTCCCCTGCCCATACCCCCCGGCAGGCACCAGGACCCTAAAATCCAGGAAGGAAGGGACCAAAGGAGATCCAAATCTTGAGTCTTTTCTCCTTTGCCGGTGGAGGGCGCCCTGCCTCCCCTCACTCGGGCATTGGTGGCTTTAAATGTGTTTCCTAGAGTGAATTCTGGCCCTGAGTCCAGGCAGCACTGGCTAGAAGAGCAACTGAATCTTGAGCCAATCCCCTGCTGCAGGCCTTTTCATGGCTCACACTGACCCTCATGCCACATCCCCACCCCAGCAGGGCTCGAGGATGGCTGGGGAAGCTGCCTGAGTCCCAGTCCCTGAGCCCGGAGCCCGGCAGGGACAGAGCACTGTGTGGGAGACAGAGTGGGATGCCCTAGGTCCGGCTCAGTGCTGCCGGGCTGCAAGAGTGGCCTCAGCCAGCCAGCCTCCCGAGCCGCTTAGGCCCCTCTTGTCATTTGTAAGGGGAAGGGCTTGGCCAACTGCTTCTCCGGGGGGGGGGGCGGTGTGTCCAGCCTGGACCTGCCTCTCTGCTGGCAGCAGCAGGACAAGCGGGAGATGGTGGGGTTGTGGCTGGTGGGGGGAGATGTTGCTGCCTCTGGGAAAGAGGGAGCCATGGTCTGGCCCCGAGGACCACAGGGCCGCGGCCTGTCTAACGCACTCCCTGGCCACCCTGCTGAGAGGCTGCTCAGGCCGCAGCATGCCAGTGGGAAAATGAGGCTAAATGCATTTTTAAAGCTCAGCTCAGCTTCCCTTCCCAGTAGAGTTGAGCCCTTGGGCAGAGGTGGTGAAGGAGCTGCTGATTCTCTCCTAATTGCTAAATGAGGGCTAAGCTACCAGACGGCTGAGGACTCAGTGACTGGGATTTCAGGAAGGTCTGGGAGGAAGCAAGGAGCCGGGGAATCCAGTGTGTCTGCCGTGGAGGGGACGTGCCTGGGACCAGAGCCACTCTGGAATGTCTGCAAAGAAAGGGACTCCATGGGCGCCTGGGGGGCTCCGTCGTTAAGCGTCTGCCTTCGGCTCAGGTCATGATCCCAGGGTCCTGGCATCGAGCCCCCGCATCCGGCTCTCTGCTCCGCGGGAAGCCTGCTTCTCCCTCTCCCACTCCCCCCTGCTTGTGTTCCCTCTCTCGCTGTGTCTCCCTCTGTCAAATAAATAAATAAAATCTTTAAAAAAAAAGGGGGGGGGGACTCCAGGCAGAGATCTGGTTGGAAGAGGCATGGGGAGGGGGGCTGGAATAAGGGGATGGTCTTGCTTTAGGAGACGGAGCACGATGTAGGGTGAAGAGCATGGCTCTCAACCAGGTGGCCCAGGTTTAAATCCTGATCCCACGCCTTCCTAACTGTGTGACCGTGGGCAAGTCACACAACCTCTCAGCTTCCTTATCTGCAGCATAGGAATAAGCTTCACAATGGCTCCTGCCTCCGTGGCTGAGTGGGCATTCTTAGTTCACACGTGCAGAGTGCTTGGAGCTCTACCTGGTGCGTGGCATGCACTATTATTTTCGTTATTATTGTCTTTGAACTGTTACTTATATAACCTTCTATAAGATTCAGGACATGTTATATATCCCTGTCAAAGTGGGTACTGGTAGGGGCTGCAAGAGATGCCCCTTGGTTCAAGCTCCGCTTTCACACCCCACATGTGGGGCAGGAGCATGGAGCCCCTCCTGGGCCAGGTCATCCAGAGGGAGCAGGTTTTGGTGGGAAGAGAGGAGATGATCTGGAAAGAGAAACAGCTCCCCCAGCCGCAAGTCATTGCCAGGGAGGATGCGACCTCCTTGTCTTTAATTGCTGAGCTGAGCAGTCCTCCCAGAGAGTCTTGGGAAAATGGATATTTTTGGAAAAGCTTCCCATCCCTTTGAAGATCAGATGCAGCAGGAGGGAGGGCGTTAAGGAAAAGGCCTGGAAGTCCTGGCAGTGTCTCATCAGTAAATGAATTAATTCGTGCCTAATGATTAGGTACAATTCTGGGTTCCCAGGCTCTACTGATCACACACGGGTGTGTCCCTCACTTTCTGGCACTGGGGGCACTTGTGAAGGGAGAGTCTTCCAGCCCTGGCTCCACATCCAAGGACCATCATCCCCAGCCCCTCTCCTGGGAGCAGAGAGAGCACCTCACCCAAACCTCCCACCCATCCTGCAGGTGGAGAAACTGAGGCCTGGAGAAGGCAGTGCAGAGGGTTCCTTAGCCGGTTCCAGGTGGAGCTGGGGCTAGAATCCTGCACTCTCAGCTTCCACTTAAGGCGGGGTGGGCTAATCAGCAGCTCATGCCCAGACACTAAAGTCTTTCTTGGGGTCATGTCAAGTCACCCTTGGAGACAAGAGTGGAGTGAGCTCATGCGGAGAGGCAGGGCTGGAGCCACAGAGAGCCTGGCCGGCCCCACTCAGAAGTGTGTGGACTTGACCATGGAGACAATCGGGAGCCACAGAAGGGTTGGATGGGAAACCAGGGTCAGAGAGCCGGTGCCTTGGACCGGGGCAGTGGCTGTGGGGATGGAGGAGAAATCAGCTCCAACATGAACATCACTTTGGAGGTGAAATCGACAAGACCCAGTGCTGCGGAGACAGAAGGGCCTCCTCCTGGGAGAAGCCTCACTGCCCCCCGCCAGGCACCAGCCCCTGGGTGCTCCAGAAGCACTGTGAGTGAGGCCATGGCCCTGCCTCCACACCCTGTGACCCTGGGCAGCTGTCAGCCTCTGCCTCCATTTCCTAACTGTAAAATGGGCCCTACTAAATTGGAGGTTGGCAGGTGGCACACACTAAGCTCTCTTCTTAGGTCCTTCTGCCCTTCCCCCTACCTGCACTTCCTCCCCACACCCTCCTCTTGGGGTCCAAGAAGTGGTTGCAGACACACGAAGCTGTGTAGTCTGGCTGTTCCAGCCTCCCCGGGACCCTCCCACCCCTCCTGGGTTGCAGCCAACCCCCACCCCAACACCCTTCGTGTAGCTGGTAAAGGAGAGGGGGCAGAAGGAGGAACGTGGGAGTTCTGAGCTGAAGCCATGCCCTCCAGCCTTCTCATCGTCAGACCAGGGGCCAAAGAGCCATACGAGGGGGGAAATACGTGAAGGTCACTCGGCAACTCTCCAAGTGAACCACCTGGGGGCTGGTCACCCTCGGCACCCCCTTGGGCCTCGGAGCCCAGGCTCACCAGAACCCAAGAACCCATCTAGGGACCCCCACCCCGCCCCCGGTAGGACAGGGCCCCTGGCCTGCAGCTGTTTCTCTCTTCATAAGCAGGGGCTGTGAGTCATTGACAGGGCAGAGCAAATTAATCCTGAGGGTGACAGGTGGTGTAACAAGGAGCTGCAAAGCCTGGAGGTGGAGGCTCAGGAGGCTCAGGGCCTCAGGGTATCGAGGTGTTTACGTGGGGATCAAGTATCCAACAGACCCTGGGTAGTCCTCACCAGCCCTGTGAGCATGCATGCAAGGCTCAGCCCCCTGCCTGTGGATCTAAAACGGGGTCCCCCACCTCCTGGCTGCAGGGCCCTGGACAGACCTCCTAACCTTTCTGAGCTCAAAGTGGGGGCTATTCTGATGATTCCTGCCCTACCTCATAGGGTTGTGGTAGGCTTATCCCAACTAACCCAGTTTGTCACCTGCAGAAGAAAGTGTCACACAGAGCTGCAGGCAAATTCCAGCTTCACCTCTTACCAGCTGGTGACCTTGGGTAAATTCCCTAACCTCTCTGAGCCTCGGAGGCCTCAGTATATAATGAGAACTACATAGTTACATATGGCATCACCCAGGGGTATTGTGGAAATCAGCGGTAAAGAGCACAGAGCTGGCCTTTGGTAAATGGTGGTTGTATCCACGAGAGGTACTACAGTCTTGTTGTCGTCATTATTATTCCTCCCACCTCCAACAAGTCCCAAGCTCTCCCCATCCTGTCCCACCTCCCAACAGAGGGTCCGCCCGCCACAGGTTCCCTTACTTGTGGTGTTGTAGCGGACGCCGAAGAAATAGGCAGGGCAGGGTCGAACCACCAAATGCCCCGCGGGGCTCTGGGGCCAGCAGGTACCAATGAGGTCCACGGATGCATTGCACTGCAGCCCTGGGGGCAGAGACAGCTGGTGAGGCGGGGCGAGCTCCCTACTCTGGTATCCTACCCACCTCCCCACACTCACCCACCAGCTGGGAGCAAGATGGGAGCAATGACCCCAGTGTAGAGATGAGCTCGTCCTATGCAGAGGAGACATCAAGGAAAGGAATCTGAATTTGATGGTATGGCACGAGGGAGCCAGCGTGGGTTCCAGAGTAGAGGAGGAACAGAGACACCTGAAGGGGGTGTTAAAAGCTGAGATCTTGACTGGCATTTAGAGAAAATGCTGGACATACTTCAGGTCCTCTGCTCTGTAGCCCAAGGACACTTCTCTTGGCCCCTCATTTGATATAGATTGGACCTCTGAGACTTCACAGTCTGGAGCAGCCTGGAACAGACCCAGCCAATCCTTGATCTAGCCCGCCGCACACACATTGATGGAACCAGACCACATCTTCTCTGGCTCTGCAGTGAGGAACCAGTTAAATGAAGTTGGCTGAGCTCTTCCCAGGCCTGATAACCACATTTACTGAACATGCAGTGTTTGTGCTTGGACAGTGCTGGGCCCTAGCAGAGAACTGACCAACAAGGGAGCCACAGGGAGAAAAAAGAGGGTGACACCACCTAGGGGGACGGGAAAGGACACTGAACCAATAGTCTGGGACACACACTTCAGACTGGGCTCTGCTACTAATTTGCTGTGTGACCACAGGCATGTCATTTGCTCTCTAAGCCTTCGTGTCTTTATTTTTTTAAGATTTTAATTTATTTATGAGAGAGAGAGAGAGAGCAGGGGGAGGAGCAGAGGGAGAGGGACAAGCAGACTCCAGGCCGAGCGCGGAGCCGGACAAAGGGCTCAACCCCAGGACACTGAGATCATGACCTGAACCCAGGCCAAGAGTCAGACACTTACCCAACTGAGCCACGCAGGCGCCCCAGCCTTTGTGTCTTTATAATAAAATGAAGAGTTTGGTTCTGATCAGAAATTCTTAATCTCAGTCTACTGGAAGCTTTAAGGGTTCATAGAGACTCTGAAGTGAAAAAATTGGTGTATATGTGCATCTTAATTGGGAAAGGGATTTTGGCTTCATTAGATTCTCAAAGAGGTCTGTGACTCAAAAAAGGATGTTGAAGTCCCCTTCCAAATATTTTCCCTTAATTGAAGAGCTTTTTCTTTTTTTTGAGATTATTTATTTATCAGAGAGAGAGCACGAACGGGGGAGTGGCAGGCAGAGGGAGAAGCAGGCTCCTCTCTGAACAAGGAGCCCGATGTGGGACTTGATCCCAGGGCCCTAGAATCATGACCTGAGCCGAAGGCAGACGCTTAACCAACTGAGCCACCCAGGCTTCCCTCAAAGAGCTTTTTGGAGTGGAGTGTGTGCATATGTGTATGTATGTGTGTCTGTTGGGGCAGGGTGGAGGCTACAGGAATGCTTCTGGAGGGTAGGGAGGCTTTTAGTCTGAAGTGGGGGAGGCTGGGCTGAGGATGGCCCCCGCACCCCTCCTGATGCTGCCCTTCTTTCTCTGCCTTAGGATGCCCCTCTTCCACAAAAGGCTGGCACACCTGTCCTGTTGAGACCCAGTGTGCCCATCCCAATGGGGAGGGGGTGAGTAATTCTTGGGATGGGCACAAGGATGCACAGACAAGCCAGGAAGAGCCATAAACCAATGCAGGGGCTGCCTCTTCAGGGCTGGGCATCAGCAGTTGCCAAGCCCTGGCTGGGGCCCACCTGCCAACTCCTCCCCTTGTTAGCCTGTACTCGGTCTCTCAGGAAACAGCCCGGGGTTAGATGGGCGTCTTTCCCCCGCTGGATGTGGGGCAATGCACTTGTACCTAATGCTGGGCTTTCTTTCTAATCAAATCGATTCATAGGATGTTCCTGCAAATCGGGGCTTAGGGGCAGAGGCCTTGAGACCAAGGGGTTTAACTAAAAGAGAAAGAAGTCTGGGTTGGAGCTTCATGGACACGGGGAGCTGGCGGGCCAGGCCAGGCCTTGGCGCTGTGCCACAGTACAGCCTCCATGAATGGCATCATGGCGTGGCGGGGGGGAGGGCAGGGAGGAAAGCAGGCTGTGGCTGTAATCTCTCAGGGGTCATGCCCCTCGTGCTGAGCCCAGAGGTGGGGGGAAGCTAGAGGCAAGTGGCCACAGGGAGGGAGAGATGATATTATGGGCCATGCTCGGCTTTTTCAAGGCTCATCCTCGTCTATTTTGTTGATCCTCATCCACCCTGCAATGTCATTAGTACCTTTTTACAGATGAGCAAACGGAGGCAGAGGGACGTTAAGTGACTTGCTCAAAGTCATGGGTCAATGAGTGAAAGAACCAAGAAGTATAGCCAGGTGTTTTTGACTCTAAACTATGCGCTCTTTCTATTATGTCACATGTTGTGCCAATAAAGGGAGGGTAGAAAGCCAAGGAGGCAGCGGGGAAGGGAGAGACAGTTTTGAGGGCTGTGTGCCAGGCATGTGCCAGGTACTTTGCATATACCATCTGATTTAATGATATCATTGTACCTTCGTCAGACGGTTGTCCATTCCCTCACTCACTCATTCATTCACAGTGTCTCCTGAGCTGGGCACGGGGAAGACTAAATGGAACATCATGTGTGGCAGCACCTGGAACTTCCCTATCATGCTCTCTTGATGTAGGAGCTGGCCTCCACCCCCCCTTCCCTCTCCCTCTCTCTCCTGCCCTGGACACTTCCCCAGAACCCCTTTGGCAAGAAGAGAGGGCAGGGCAGGACTGGGCACCAGTCACAGCCAGGACAGGACTAGAGCCAAGGCAGAAACCAGCTACGAAGCAGATGGCCCTTCTGACCTCGATGACCAGGTACCAGCCAATGGCCAGAGCCCTGACCCACCCGCAGCTGGTGGGGAGGTATGGGGGTGGGAGTAGGCAGAACAGACATTATTTGCCCCTAGTCCGGTATGGATTAGGATCCCCTAGCACCTACTATGGGTCTCATACCACCTTCTGCGGTGCGTGCTAATTCTCTCTGATTTACAGGTAAGGAAACTGAGACCGGAGCCGTCAAATTGTTTATGCAGAGTCACACAAACACCAAGAGGCAGAGTGGGGTTTGAACACTGGCTTTTGACACCTGTCCAGGGCTCTTCCCACTGCACCATAGAAGTCCCTAGTCTGGGCCACTGGCCCTCATAGCATTTGGTTGCTATTTGGTTTCTAGCCCCTGCTGCCGCGGTCTCTCTCTTCTGCCTCCTGCCCCCCCGCAGCTCAAAGAAGGCTGCTTGGGGGGCTAGGGAGCGGGGTACCACTGCCATGGACATGACCTTTACATTAAGAGTCCAGAAAATCCTGGAAGGAATGAAAGTCTGTGTGCGAGAAGGGAAGAAAGGGAGGGACAGTCCTCAAGAATGAAGAATAGAAGCCATCAGCATCACAGCCTGCTTTGCCGGTCTGGACCTGGGTGGGCGGGGTCCGATGGAGGGGCGTGGTCAGACAGGGCGTGGTCAGAGGCACAGGGCCAATCAGGAGCGGCGGCAGAGCCCGGGCTGGGAGAAGTCAGCCTTAGAGTAGGGAGTCGGCTGAGCAAGAGGCAGGGAGTTAGAAGTGGAAAGGAGGCTGGAAGAAGAGGGGCCGGGACGCAGAGGTCGAGGGAAGGGAGGAGGCTGCACGACAGGGCCTCAGGCGCCGTACCTGGCTGTGGGCACGGCCCACCAGACCTCTTGGCCCGACCGCCTCGAAGGCACCTTCCGCAAAGTGCCTACCTCCGCGGGCCACAGCCCTTCACTGCTCACGCAGGGATTTCAGCTCACCACGCTGCGTACACGCGGTCCCTGGGGATCCGGCAGAGCCCGGGCCTCCAAAGGGGAAGAGTGTGTAGGCAGGGAGAACCAACCATTGCTGAACACTACTGTATACCGGGCAGTGTGAAGGGTACTTCTGGAAATTCACACCACTCATTCAATCCTTTTAAATGACTTGAAGAGAAGAAAAGGGGGTGGGAGCAAGTGAGGAAGGAGAAGGGGAGAGAGAGGAAATAGAAGGAGACAAAGACACGGAGAGTAAAACAGGGAAAGGCAGACAGAAAGCCAGGAGAAAAAGGTACAGGGAAAAATAACTCCAGAGGTGCTGGGGGTGGGGAGGGAGTGGGTCTCCTAGTTGGGAAGCGGAGAAGGAAAGGAAGTCTGGATGTCACTCGGCATGGGGGCTATAAAGACCTAGAGGTCAGGGCTGTTGGACTCTGATTCTTGAGCCAAGTCCCCTCCATTTGTCCCACTGGCACAAATGCCCAACCCCTCCTGCTCTCCTGGGGCTATTTTCCCACTTGGATAGCATAGTTCTGGGGGTGAGGAGCAGTTTGGATGGGAGTAAACTAGCCTTGCAAATAGCCAGGCCGATTTACCAGCCAGGAGCTACTATTTATTATGAGTCAACTCCTCCCCACACCAAACTGTTCCAGGTCACCCCTCCTGGCCAATTAAGTCATAGATGGGGAGGAATAATGACTTTGCTCTTTATTCAACAAGTTTTTACTGCCCTCCTAAGAAATTTTCTAGGGGCTGGGGACACAGTTCCCTGTTCTAGGGGCTGGGAATACAGTTACGAATAAAATAAGTGCCCTTCCCTTAGGTGGGGGTGGGAGGTAAGGGCTGCAGCAAACAGACAGAAAGACAGACAGACATAGCTGTTAAGCAGTGAGAATGCTACGAAGAGAAAGCAAACAGGGTCAGGAGATAAAGATTCCCAGGACTGCTATTGTAATTTGGTGCTAACAATTAAGCGGAGACCTAAAGGAAGTGAGACAGGGAGCCATGTGCACATCTGGGGGAAGAGTGTTCTAGGCAGGGGGAACAGCACATACAAAGGCCCTGAGGCTAGTTTGTACTTGGCATGTCTGAGGTGTTAACATTCCTATCGCTTGGTGGCTTGCCCCCCCATTCATGAGGCAGCCAGATCCCTTCAGCGTTTTTTTTCTGGAGGCAAGGGAGTGGAACCAAGTGGGCTAAAGTAATGTGTAAGACTGTTCCTGCATCTTCCTCTAACCCCACATGTGCACACTCCAATGCTCATGGGAGCACTGCGGTTAGTCCCAAATCTGTGCAAATGGAGGGAAGAGGAGAGAGGAAGAGGTGGACAGGCTCCCTCCTGCCTCTGACAAAACCCCTGCTGAGTCAAGGGCCTGGGGAGTCTTGTTTTAATGAACCCGATGAGAACCCTTTGAAGGTGGCCTACTTAATGCTTGTGCACAATTGGGCACTGGTTTCTCGCCAGGCTCAGGCCGAAAGTGCTCAGCAGATCCTTCTGTAGTAGGTAACTTCAGAAGGAAATCAGAATCTGGGTCCCGTCCCCAGTTATTCTGGGTGTCTCATTAGCGGCTTCTGAATGAACGAGAGTAGGTGGGCACTTCGCAGCAGCCCTGCACTTGTGTGGTTAAGCTCAAGAGAGGGACTCAGCCAAGGCTGCCCAGAATGGGAGCAGCCAGGTGGCCCAAGGGCAGCCTCTGAAATAGACACGCTTGCCCATTCAGAGGAAGGCGCTGTTGGGATGCACGGGCAGGGGCTCTGCCTGGGTCCTCCAGCATGGAGAAGGTGGCGGAGGGCAGGCAGAGAGTCCTGCTCTTGTCTCGGCCACCTTGTGGCTGAGCTGCCCCTTTTTTGGCTGGGTAGACTGGAAAGATACCTTTGCCGGTATGTGACTCATCAGGACAAGTGGCTGGGAGCCTCCTGTTCTGTGGGTTTGCGAGCTCTCTGCTTTTGCATTCCTGGCACCTAGTAGAGTGCCAGGTGCATAGTAGGTCCTGAGGGAAATCGGGGGCTGTGTGTACACCCTGTACAGGTGTGGGGAACTGCAGGGGTGACAGGCCACACCCGGCCTTGGGCACTGTGGCTCTCTGGGCAGCCACATATGTGGTGGCCCATTTGATTCCAATCTTGGGGCTACTGCTTAGTAACTGTGTGTGCTTGGACAAGTTACTTAACCTCTCTGAGTCTTAGGTTCCTCTTCTGTAAAATGAGGATAAAAATACTTCCTGACAATATTGTTATGATGATTGAATGAGATTCAAGTACTTAGAATGGTGTCTGACACATAGTAGGTACTAAATAAATATTAGCTATTATTATTAACATTCATGACCTTAAGACAAGGGATAGGAACGAATGACCCTCGGTCCTTGTCAAAAGTATGAGTTCATTTGTCTCTGATGTCATTAATCAATAATTCTATTACTTTCTGGTATTGTCATATTTATGCCATGATTTTATGAGCTGCCAAGTCTGTGATCTGCCACATGATGGAACTTTGGCCCTAGGGATCCACCCTCTCTCTGCTCCTGGCATGTGAGAGGACCCCCAAAGGCCCCAACTCAGTGCCAGCCACCCCGGCCAGACGCCCATCCATCTGTCCCCGTCCCTCCACCCCACCCTCACCATCTGTCTCTACCAGTGCCCATCGGTCTGGGTAGGTCTTGGCATTGGAAGACAAATAGCTCATTCTCAGAGGCTGTTGTGGAGGGTGATGGATTGTATGCCATGAAGCCCGCCAGGCTGGGCTGGGCTGAGGGTAGGGGCACGGAGTACAAATCGTGGGGGAATGAACGACATTCATCATGGCCTGTTGCCTCCAAGGACAGGTGACACCTGCATGGGCTCAGAGATGTCACTCCTCCACGCACAAGGAGCAAGTGAATGGATGCTGACCTGGCCTCAGTGCATGGGGGACTGCGGGCAGGGCCTTTCATCTCAGACTCAGGCCCTGGACAGGTCTCTTCCCTCCCTGTCTCTCTCTGTTAGAACTCCAGACTCTTGCTCAAGAATTTTCCTATTTTCCTATTTCCCATGGCCTGGCTTAGCCAACTTTGCAGCCAGATGCTCCAGGCTCCCAGTAACCTCCCCAGGCTTACTGCTCTTCCCTCCTCACTCCTCCCCTGTCATTCCACCAAGCCCCCCTGCTGGTCTTCGGTTAACTCTAGCTTTGGCTCAGAGCACTGGCTCTGTGCTGCCAGTTCATACTCAGAGTCTCTCAGAGACTCACTGTGAAAGTGATTTTCAGGAAGCCTTCCTGGATTCATACCACCCCTGATCTACCCTCCCTGCCACCTCCAGTGTTGTGAGCAATTCACAGCAAATGCCTTCTCCTCATTCTAGCTATATACGGTTCGCACTTTCAAAAGCCTGCTGATGTTACCAACAATCATAAACAATGCTCACTAGTGGTACGGCTCTCTACAGTTTGTAACATATTGCCATAAAACTTAGTGCATTTAGTTGTTACAGATCCTTGAGGTAGGTACCAACCCCCCACCCCCGCACCCAACTTTATAGTTTGGGCAAAGCGAGGCTCAAGGGGGTCAAGGGCCTGCTCATCCCTGGGGCTGCTAGAGGGGCCCCTAGGCAGAAGGACAAAAGAGCGCCACCGTGAGCGTGGGACCCAGTTGGCCTTCTCCATGTCCGGAGCTCTTCCTCTCCCCCAGGCTCCTCCCACAGTGAAGGTTCAGGAGGCCCGGCGGCAGCTGCTCAGAGGTGTGGAAGCCTCCTCCCCCCACAGGCCCAGGCTCAGAAGCTCATGCCTTCTGCCTCCCTGCTGGCAGCCTGTGGCCACCTCTCCACCAACATGCACCTTGTGCTCAGCTTCGTAGTACTGTGTTTGTGGGCTTGACTCCCAGACCAGATGGTGAGCCCTCTTTGGTCCCCTCATGGCTTCCAGGGGGCCCAGTGCACAATAGGTGCTCAATTCATGAGTTGGATTGAATCAAGGAGAGACCTGGAGAGGAAACCGAGTCACCCCCAAGAACAGTGAGCCTCCCAAAGACCTTCAGGTACAGGGGCCCTCCCCACCTTTGCTGGGCAGCAGCCTCCCCAGGAACCCGGCTTCAAGTGGCCAGGGCAAGGGTTCACGGACCACACCCGGAGTTAGAAAAGACATGGCCTTGGACGCCAAAGGCCTGACCCTCCCATGCCTCAGCTTCCTCACCTGTACGGATGCTGAGTCTTAAACTCGTGTGAGACGTGAGATAATTCTACAAAAGTACTTTGCAAATGGTGTGCTTGTACAAGTTATTAGTAATATTTGCAGTTATGCAGTATTTTCTATTGAGGGGGTGTAGAGCCAGGCTGCCTCGTCTCAAATCTTGGCTCTGGGACTTACTAGTTTTTTTCTTTGCGCCTCAGTTTCCTTAGGTATAAATGAAAATTGGGTTACTATATCTCCAATACCTCCAAGAGTGCCTGACACATAGTTAGCACCCGACAGCATTGTGCTTTGGATGTTTTTAGCAGCAGAGGACGGTGGCCCTTCCTCCCCACGGGCGCCTGAGTCACAGCCCAGCCCTCTGCTCTGTCGGTTCTCACAGCAGGGGCTGGGGTGACTTCCCCCATTGTCCGCCCCATGGCTGATGCTCTGACCTCACGGCAGCTCTCCTTCCCACCACACTTGCACCAACTTCAGGATCCTCCTGAGCACAGTACTCTGTGGAGATGTGATGAGCTGCGTGGGGCTGGAGAGAGGAAATCTCTCTGCTCTTCCTACCTTGGGGCATGGCTCTGTGTGCAGGCCCCCGGAGCCCCGGGGGAGGGGGCCGTGGAGACCTGGAATCTTGCACCACTGGGAGAGGGGGACTCACCAGAGACATTGCCAGCCAGGGACAGGCTCTCGCAGTGCTGGTCCTGGAAGGAGGCGGAGATGGGGTTCAGCCCCAGGAGGAGCAGGGCCTGTGCGCACAGGGAAGCGAGGGACACCGTTAGACTGTGCTATGAGCTTCCTGCTTCCCCTTGCTTCCCCTCACCCCAACTTGCTCTCCCTCTCCCCCCATGTCCTCTGTGTCTGGAAGGTCTGGAGCTGCCCTGTTCTAGAAGGGCTTGGAAAGGAGGCAGGTAGCAACAGCAGGAGCCTAGGTTCCCGGGACAATGGTGAACCTTCTCCCGGAGAGCTGGGACCTTCATGGAGGCTGCGCCTGAGGAAGCCACCTCTATCCGCATGGAATCCCAAGGATGGTTCACCTGTATCGCAACACACACACACACACACACACACACACACACACACACACACCTGCCCGCTGAGCGCTCGTGGGCTCATAGGTGTCTTTCAGTAGTGCACCTGCTGGCCTCCCTCCAGAGCTGCAGGCACTCAGAGGGCTCCCATCCTCACCCAGCTGATTACCAGTCACTACAAATTCTGCCTCATCCTTCATCAAGGCCTTTTACAGCTGCCATGGCTCTTCCTTCTCCCTGGGGGCTGCGGTGGCTGTCCGTGTTTGCAGATGAGAAATGGAGGCCCACGGAGGTGAAGGGGTACATGTGTCTGGAAAGATGCCTGCCCTACTCCAGGGAGAACTTTTGCCCCTTACCCTCCCGGGGGCTCCATGTCACTCTGACTCCAGAATTTTAGCCCATGTGGGAGGAGAGTGGCAGGGCCCCCTTCAGCTAACGCCCTCACACAATCACTGCGTCCCCCTCCTTTGGGGTCAACACTCCCCCCCACCCCACCTACGGATTTAGAGTTAAAAGAGCCCTGGCATCTAGCCCTGGTTTCACTGTGTTGCCGGGGGTAGGTTACTTGACTTCTCTGGGCCTGTTTCCTCACGTGGAAATGGTCCTCCCTCCCTCCCAGGCTCCCACAATGCACTGTTTGGACCGTCCTTCGGAGTAGCACACTGTGCTCCACAAGGACAGGAATTTTGTTTTGTTCATGGTGTTCAAATTTGCTGACTACCTTCATGAATCGCATTGTATTTGAGGTCTACAACGGGCACTCAATAGTCATGTTGATTGATTGGAACTTGGTGATTTTTATTTAGTCATAGGTTAGAAGCAAGGCAGTGGTCTCCCCTGGGATTTGAGGTTCAAGGGGATAAGAAGCACGTGGGGGGCTGGGGTATGGAGGGGGCATGTCCATTTGTGGGGACATGGGTGCCAATGGCCAGCAAAGCTCTGTCTGCCTGACCGAGCTCCCAAGGCAGGGGAGCCTCACAGAAGGTTGTCCTCCACCTCACCACCCCTGCTCCCTGCTCTTTCTTCCTGGGGTCTCCTCCCTGGGACCCTCCCCTGGACCACCTGGCGATGGTACCTCAGCCCCAGTCCATTTCCACACAATCTGCAAACTTCACTACAGAACTTCAGAAACAGAGAGGTAGATCTAGAAGCTGTCTTAGCCACTTCCCGGCGGGCATCTGAGATGGGGAGAGAGCTAGGGGCTTGTCCCATGGTGAGCAGGTCTCTATTTTAGTCCAGGGCCAGTCTAGCAGCACACAGCCTTTGTGCACAGCCCTCTGGGACTAGGGGGAGGAAAGTGAGGCACTCACCTCGGGTCCAGAATTTCAAGGGATGCCAAAAAGACACAATATTTTAATGCAGTATTTTTTAAAACTAAATGAATGCAAAAAAATCCACGATGAACAAAAGACCAAAAACTTTTTTAAAAAGACAGGCTCTGTAATAGTGCTGGGCCTATTGGAGCTTGGGGTAAAGGGAAAAATCAGTAATGATATTAAAATATTGTTTATCTTCATTATGAGATTTTGGACACCCTTAAATTTTGTGCTTGAGGAGAAGGCGTCCCTCGCCTCACGCTAGTCCCAGCCCTGCCCTGCTCTCCCCAAGCTGGGCACCCCCACCCCACTGCTCCCAATGTCAGTATGTCCTCCCCTCACTTGGACTCCTCCCCACTTACCCTTCCCGGACCTCAGGACCTCCCTCCAGTCCATAGAAGCAACCTGATCTGCCCTTTCCCAGAAGTGAGCTTTCCTTGCTCGCCTGCCGTGAATATCCTCTCCTACCCTGCGCCCCCCTTTAGTGCACCCACCTTCCCCAGTAGCTGCCCCTCCCCACTCCTGTCTCATGACAGAGGCAGGCTCTACTCCCTTCTCTCCCGCCTTCTTTTCCAAGGTGGAATCAAATGCTCCCCACTTCCGGTCAGAGTCTCTCCCACCCTCAGCCTCCTGCAGGAAACCCCCGTTGACCCTAATGATTCACCCACATGTCCCCTCAGCATGTGCCTGAGTCCTTTGTGGGCTTTGTTTATTCTGTTCACTTGCTGGCACACTCCTGTCACATCCTAGGAGTCTTTCTGCTCCAACTGGGCCAAACCCCAGTCCAAGAAACATATCCCCAGCCCTGCACCCCCACTCTCTGCCCAGCACTCGGGACACTTGGCTAACTCGCTCCTGGGACTTGGAAGTGATTAGAACAAACCCATTCATCTCTCTGGCCCCAAGGAACTTCTAACACTTTATTAACCGGTAATTAAACTTCACAGTCCCCAGAGAGATGGAGAACTATCTTTACCCTCATTTTCCAAATGAAAACACAGGAGAGAGAAGAGGAAGTCACTAGACCAGCCAGCAGCTCTTGCTAGTTAAGCAAAGAGTAGCATCCTCGCCGACAAACCTGTATTGCTCAGCTCGGCACAGAGCTCTGTGCTATGCCCAGAGAGGGACCACTCTGCTGGGACGGCCAAAGGTCCCTTCTAGAAGGAAGCTAGGAATCCCTGCCCCCAGCTTGTCCCCCCCCACCGCTGCCTCTGCCACCTCCCAACACACAGACACACACAGAATGGGAGCAGGGCTCCCAGAGCCAACTGTCTTTCAGGCCAGTGAAAGAAACTGGAAATGCTCTATTTGAAAATATCAGCCCCCCTGCCTGACATTCCACCACTATCCTTCTAATCCTAAAACCCTGCTTTGTGCTTTGTGCCTTGGTCTTTCAAATCCCGCTTGAAAGCACACTGTGTTCTATCCACATTGAATTACTTATCAATGCCCAGTCACCGGATCCTGCTGGTGTCCACACACCTTTGCCCTTGCGGTTCTTTGCCCCCCTGCACCCCCCACTCCTGACTCACCACCGCACCCAGTGAGCCCTGCAGTCCTCGAAAGCCAGTTCCAGAGCCCTCCCCTTGGCAGCCCCTTCCCCAACACTCCAAAGCAAAGCAACTCAGTCACCCTGCCAATGGACCCAGGCTCCTGTGCACATGGCACCAGACCCAGGTGCTCACGATGCTCACAAACAGAGCGTGAAATCACCTCAGTACAAAGCACTGACTCCCCTCAGTTCTGATTAATGGCAAAGACACAGGCCAGAAGATCTTAGCTTCTCACCCTAATGTCCTAGGGTTCACAGAGGAGCAGAGCAAATCCAGATTCATCATGAAACCAGACCAAATGCCATGCAAAGGGCAAAGGGCAAGCCTGTCCTCGGCTGGCTGCCTATAACCCTGACCCTTACATCTCGGATGTGACGGTTCACAAAGTCATTCTCTACCAACACGGTTTGCATTGTGCAAAGAAAAATGCTTCTTCAAATTCCCGAACCAACCTCTCCTCTCAGGAAAGCTCAGTTCTGTATAGAATCAGTGCTTGTACCACCTCTTGCCCTGTGGAAGGATTTGTAAAGGCTTCTGGCTTACTCCTGAATCACACTTCCAGGAAAAGTCTGGAATTTTCCTGCGTATTTCCTCTCCACCGTACACTGATCTCTTCAACGTTCCCTAAATTTCTAGCCCCATCAACAGGTGACTACTGCACTGTGGGAACAGGCCCCCAGAATTTCCAGGATATTGTTTGTTTCCTCCTAAGGCTGAGAGTTCTTGATCTGGGGTCCACAAACACCCAAAAGCCTGTACGGAAATGCAGCATGTCGTGTGTAATGACAGCCATTTTCCGGGGGAGAACGCAAAGCTGCCTCCACAGCTCAGGGAGGTCTAGCACCCAAAATGATGGCTAGAACTTCCAGTGGATGGGGTCACATCAGAGGCCTGGGCCTCCACCACATCGGACATGTCATCCTCTCTCAAAGCAAACCCAAAGTGGTTTGGGCCTAGGAACCACCATTTCCTTGGGCTGCTCCACTGGATCCTCCCCGTGGTCATTGACTCGGGCTCCTGGCTCTCCTTTCAGAGCCATTTCTGACAAACCAAGTTTTCAGGACTGTGTGAGGTTTACCATTTCCCAACAGCTGGTAGAGAAAAACCAAAATGGCCCTAGGAAGCAGAAGCTGGCAGACCACTAGGATCACTCGCTAGGTGATGCCTCACTTGTGTGAGCCAGCCTGGCGGCCCCAGGGCCCAAAATAAAACCTGCACCTCAGTGACAAATCTCCCTACTCACCGAAGAGCCAAATCTTGAATGCCAAACCTGAGAAGGCCAAGGGTGTGCTGCCGCTCAATTCCAGCGTCACAGAAAATGACTGTCCAAGGACCCAGTGGGTCCCTGACAGGGACAGGGACTGCTCTGGGGAAAGCAGATGGGGCAGGTCTCACACTCCCCATTTTACAGGGGTTTTAGTTGAGGGACCCAAGGTCACAGAGCTGTTTTTAGCAGCTGGGTGGGGACTAGGAGCCAGAACTTTCAAGCAGATGGAGGCTGGAGGAAGGGGATAGCCCAGATCAGGGCAGGGAAAGAAGGGATGGGCAGAGGAGAGAGAAGGGTGCAGGGGCCCTCAGAGAGGGAGGGTGGGGGTCGGAGTCTGACAGCTGCCGCCCACCCCCCCACCTCCCCCCACAGGCCAGCGTGATGGCTAGAATTGAAGCTGCCATCCCGATTCCCAGTGTGACTCTGGCATAAAGGTTAATCACACCCAGAAAATGCTTATTAGAGGCCATAAATAACTATGCTGCTGAAGCTCAGTCCGCTCCTTAAGGCACAAAAGTGCAATTTCCTTTGATGGGATGATTGGGTAATTAACCTTTTAGGGAAGGTCCTGAAGGGCCACTG